ATTTAGCAATAAATGTCTCTAATTTCTCATTTTTTATGGCTGAGTAGTACTCCATTTTATTAAAAAACCACATTTTCTTTATCCAGTCTCCAGTTTGCTTCTTGATATTATCTACCTCCTCTATTTACTTGGTTTATCAGGTTTAGACCTAGTTACTGTGTTGCAAGGGAAGAATTTCTACAGGTTATAACAATGTCAACAGATTAAACCATACATCAACTATGTATATTAAAACTTGTTTGAACAATTTTTCTCTTTTATCAATGCCCTTTACAGATTGAATTACACTGCTATCAATAGCTATATTCAGATGTGGAGGGAGGACCGGCACGAAAAATGAAGATGAAAAGAATGGGGTAAGTCAATAAGAAGAGAAGAGAATTATTAATAGGTTAAAAAGGAGGTCAGAATCTATTGCAATTATTTGTACTGCTGGAGTAAAGGGCTAGTGTTGAGGGGTTTGGAAGGAGACTCATGGGAGCAGGAAGAGAGGTGCAGAAGGATGAGAGTATAAATGGAGACTGAGGGCAGCTATGAGATTGTTGGAGCTCGTTATGTTGGTAGTTTATGTTTGGATCCTCTATGTACAATTTTGGTAAGAGTTACCCTAAGATGCCCTTGAAAGATGCTATTTCAATTAAAGCACTAGTTAATTCTTATTGCAATATACATATACGTATATAGATATAGAGAAAAATATGTATATTCAGGCAAAAAGCATAAAGGAGGAAGGGATGATAAGGGGATAAGAAAGAAAGAAAGTGAGAAGAAAAGAGAAGCATAGGGGAATAAAAGGAAAAGGACAGAGAAGAAAGGAAAAACTAATAGTAAAAATATATATTATACAAATAATTTTTTAAAAAAGCAACAACCAAACAACAAAAACAACACTCTTGCAAAACAACCGAAGTCCCATTTACACTGCAGTCTGAGTTCAACTGCAGGACTCTGAGCCAGTTCTCACACCCGACCCCACAACTCCAGCCCACATGGCTTCCTTAAATGCCTTCCTGTGAACAAGGAGTAACGCAGATCCAGTTGTCTCTCCGGGGCCACTTCCTGGCTGAGAGCAATGCTCTGGATAACTGCAGTCCTTCATCTCTGTCCCACACACATTGACACATTTACAACAGCATCAACAACCCTAATAATAATAAACATGATCCAAACATACAGGCAAAGCAGAAGCTAAGCACAGACACTCACTCACTCAGGCAGATAAATGAAGATTTCAGAGACAGAATGGGAAAGGAATTTTTGCCGCCTCCATTACAAAAGGTACGGCACATGAGTCCTCACCTGCTCTGCAGATCCTCCAGTTTTTCATAAAGACCTGATTTGTTTGTGGCTTCCACTACATTTGGGGTTTTCTGAGCATCATAAGCTAGCTCTTTAAAGTCAGTGTCAATACCTTCAAATCTTTTAGAGTCCTACGAATAAAAAATGTGGAAAAGAATTAATTACCATTTCCCTTAATTTCAAGAAGCTCCCCCCTACCCAGGTAGCAAGTGAGAGGCAAAAAGCTTTTCCTGTACTGTCCATTACACAGACAGACTCCAAGGAGGAAATGTTGTTAGCTTGAAACAACAGTTCCCAGACATTTGGTCTTAGAACCCCTTTATTGCCAACTGTGGTGGGGCATGCCTGTAATCTCAGCTATTCAGTAGGCTGAGGCAGGATGATTGCAAGTTTGAGACAAGCCTGGGCAAATTAATAAGATCCTGTCTTAATACAATGTATGCATGCATACTTACATACACAGATACATACATGTGAATAAACAAATAAATAAACAAATAGAGGTTGGGGGCTGTAGCTCAGTGGGAGGGCACTCCTTGGTTCAATTCCTAATACAGTCAAAATAAAATGAAGTAAAATAAATTAAACAACAGCAAAAGAATTTTTACTTTAAAAAAATTGAGAAGTCCAAATAGCTTTTGTCTATGTAAGACAATATCACGTCAATCAATATTTTCTGAATTAGAAGCTTATTTTAAAAGTAGCGAAAACACCGAGTTAACAAATACCGTTGTTTTATCTAAAATAGGTACATTTTTCAAAACAAATAATAAGTGAGTGAGTGAGAGAGAAAGTATGTCATCCTTTCACTTTTCTTTCTCCTTCCAGTCTCTTTACTGTCTGACTTAGTATCATCAGTGGCATTCTCCTATCTGCTTCTGAATTCAGTTCAGGTTACTATCACATGCCATGCAGCCTCTACAGAACTTCGTTGGACGGTTGCAGGAGAATGAGAATAAAAAAGCCAAATAACATTTTAGTGGGATCACTAAGGTTTATTTTGACCTTGAGAACTCGCCTGGAAAGTCACAGGGACTCCTCCTTCCCACCCAGGCACACCACACACGATACCTAAGTCAAATAGACAACAGATCCAAAGTGATTTCTAGGTGCAGGAAAATGTTGATATAGCCAGGTAAGTTTTTCCTCGGCAAATGTACTAAAATTAGTTCGATGTCATCATTCCTTCCCCAAGTACATATACCCTCACAGTGTTCTAGAAGTGATTGAGAAAGGGCTATCAGCAAAGCATTTTAGCTCCCCATCTGGCACCTGGCAAAAGCATATGTTATTATTACAAAACCATGGTCATAATTGTTAGGGCTATGTGCATTGTTTTAATGATCTTTCTGAAGTAGGTATTAGTATTTGTCACAAATTACATCTGAGGAAACCAAGGTATAGAGGTTAAGTGACTGGCCCAAGGTCCCACAGCTGCAGATAGGAGATTAGGACTGAAGCCCAGACCTTCAGCCCTTGCCCTCTGTGATCTACACCTGTATCCCAAGATGATTTCTAAAATAGAGGGCTGGGGAAAGTAAATTATAATTCCTTGATGAGGTATTTTGCTTCCATCAAAATGAAACTATATCAAGGTGGTATAAGTATGGAAAATATCTGTCATGGTTCACATTTTTTTTTTTCTTTCTTTGTGCAGGGGATCGAACTCAGGACCTTGCGCTTGCGAGGCCAGCGCTGGAACCACGGAGCTAAATCCCCAGGCCAAAAATATCTGTCATGAATGTTCAAATGAAAAAAGCTGAATGGAAAATTATAATTACACAATTACACTGAGAGCAATTATGTAAAAATATGTATATCCATGAACAAAGTTGAGAAATAGTTACAATGGATGAAAACACTGACTAGTTAGGGGTAAGGTTATGACTGATTTTATTACACTTTGAAATAATTTCTGCTGTATTGCTAATACAGAGTAAATGAATGTCTTGTAGAGAAATCCATGGCACTGTTCAGATACTAAATTCTTCAATATTCTTAATAAAAAAATTCTCAAATGTCTCCTTAATGTCTCTACTGAGGCCTCCACCTATGTCCTTGCTGGCTTCTAATTAAGCTTGCTCTTCTTCAATAGCTGCCGTTTGAGATAAATAAATGTTAGCTTATTCAATTCAGCTTAATTACTACTGCTAAAATGGAATTGTTCCTCTTATTTTTCATTTTGACTATACAACGTTTAATCTACATGATTACACTAAATACGCTGTTGTGGGATGAACTGGAAAACTGCGTTGTTGTGATGGAATGTACTTTAATTTCTAAACAAGGTCTGGAAAATCCGTGACATTTTAGAGTTAGGCTAATTTGTAAGCAAAGGACTTGTACTGAATGGATCCAGAAGTCTGAAAGAATTGAAAAGAACTAGAGTCCATTGAGAGAGGGGTTAGATAATGGCACATTTATTAGGACTAATTGGAGGGGGCATTCAAACATAGAAAGGTAATAATGAGAAGAACACATATATTAGGAATATCCATTGTTTAGTTTGTAGCTGAGAGCTGGTATTTAGTGTGTTGGCATAGGCCAGAGCTTTACAGAATGGCTCACTGCTGAGAAGCAACTTGAATTTGCCTGGAAACAGGGCTAACTTAAAGGGTTCAGTTAGTACTTACATCTTAAGGCTCTAGGAAGGAGCCCATGAAGAGCCCATCACAAGCAGCAGTAGCTAATAGTTTCTATTTCCTTCACTTTTATGCACTTAAAATAGAGACAAATGCACTTCTTCACCCTTCTGAGGACAAACTGGTTGGTGCACTTTTCCTCTGCCCGACTTTAAGTGTTGGATAAGATCAGGATTTGTGAGAGGTGCCCTTACGTGAAGCCAAAGCAGAGTGACAGAAAAGGGGAAAATCCAGACAGTATAGAAACTCGGTAAGCTTCCTTGGACCTGGATCAGAGAATAGAGCAGGATTTCCCTAGCAAGTACCTGGGGTAGCTGAGCACGGATATCTTCAGATCCAATGAATATACTTTCCAGGTGAGACCATGTGCGCTGCACCTCAAACCAGATAGAGATGACAGCATCAGCAGTGGACAGCTTCTTCTGCCAGCCTGATACTTCTTCCAGGAAGAAAGCAACATACTTGGACATCATCAGGTTCTGAAGTTGGACTTGATTATCCTCTAGAACTTCGATAAGGTTCTCATCAGACTTCAAAAGGGGGACCTGGGTCCGCAGGTGGGGCTCGTACTGGAATTCCATACCAGCCCAGGTGCTCTGCAGCTCCCTTAAGACCTTCTCCATCTCCATTTCTTTCACAGCTTTGTCCACAATGCCCCGGACTTCATCCTCAAAGAGGTGCAACTGGAGCTGCAGAAGGTGGGCCAGGGTGGTGTCTTTGTCCATGGTAAAGCTCACACCTGTGGCCTGCATCAGCTGTCTCCAGTGTCGTTCCCGGATGGCAGGATTCTGCAGCTCAGCTACTGCCCTCAGGGAGGTTAGTGTGTTTAATACAGTTCTTTCCAGGCCCACGAAGGCATCCCAGGCCCTGACCTCCTTGTCTAGGTTACGGATAAGCCAGGCAAACCGTTTGCATTCCATGTCCATGGCTTCCACACTGATGTCCCTCCACGCAGTGGTTTCCCAGCCATGGATGCTGGAGGTCACCATGCCAATGGTGTCCCATAGGTCCTTCAGCTGGCAGGCCTCCTTTCTGCACTTCTTTAGTTGCCTGTAGTCAGGGACATTGACTTCAAACAAACCAGCAGACTCAGAGATGGAGGCCATGGTGGATTCCATCTGTTGGATTTCGATGTGTCTCATATCCAGGATTTGATGAGGAGCAATGCTATCAAACCTACAAAACACAATGTGTTTCCTTGGTAAGCACAGCACACAGGGTCTCATTCCTAGAATCACCAAGGTAACTCCATTCGAAACCTTTACATGCTACTAAGTATTTCCACAAAAGAGCAGTGGCTTTCACTGAAGCCTCTCATCCTGGGAAGAAAAGACATTCAAGATACATTAAAATGGGAGACTTGGAGGAAGGTCAAGTCAACAGGGACACAATCTTTGGATTTTTTCTTTACACCTGAGAAGGTAAATAAAGTATCCCTCTTATCTTCTAATTTCCAAGTATACTCACCAGGTGTAGAGAGTAGTACCCTCTTATTCCAGCCCCTGTTAGACTCAGCCCTTCATTTAGCTCCTGGCTTCTGGGATTCGAATTGACACAAAATAGCACTGTCGCATTCATACAGAAGTGGAGAGCCAAAGCCCCTGCCAGGAAAGTAGTGGTGGACAGTCTTTTAGTGAGGAAATCACACATAGAAGTCCAAGCCTGGCCCAGTCTGGCATTGCTTCCTCTGGGGTTATGGCTCTCAGCCCTGGCTGCATGTAAAGATCTTCTGGAAGCTTTAAAGTTTTCTGTAACTAGACTTTTGTCCAGACCACGTAAATTAGAATCATTTGGATTAGGATCCAAGTTATAGCATTTTCCAAACTCCCCTGGTGATTCTGATGTGCCAAGGAGGTGTCCTTTTTCATAGAAAAGCCCCATACTGATGGTCATTTCCTGTAGCTGAACACCAGGCAACAGTGCTTTGACTTGGGGGACCATCGTTAGTGGCCATGAAGAGTGAGAACAAAATCCTCACCAGAGTCCTAAATAGTCTCAGTCATCTTCCTTCACTGTGGGCTTCAAGCCTGGCTTCTCATCATATCTCCTCTAAGCTGCCCCTCATCTCCCTATCTGCTAACGTCCATCCTTCTCTGGCCTGCTTCCTCCAACATCCCAGAGTAGCCTATAGTTCTGCACTGGAGTCTCCTAAGCATTATATCTAGCTTTACAGTTTCAGTTCATGTTTCTTCGTTCCTTTCTCTCTAATGCTTAAGGCACACATCCTCTGATCCTCATGTTGTTAACACTTTCTTCTGCTCCCCGAGAAGGCATACATTCCTGGCCCCTCCTTTCCCCCAGAATGAGAACTCTACATGCAAAAGAGCCCACATGGCCAGATAACATTTTCTCATAACCCAGATGTTCAATGGACTACGTGTCTCATAGTCCTCCCTTATCCCCCTCCTCATCCCCATGCTTGGGTTAACTTGTTTCTGTGTGTACCAAGGGCTAGATATTGGAGTTACCATGACTTAAAGGAGGATAGTATGTTCTCTCATGGTCAGAACAGGGCATCACAGGGCTCATCTTCAATGGGAATATTGAAAAGAGATGAGTGATTACAGAATTGGCTATTTCCTCCTGTCTATAGCGTGTTTGTGTGTTTGCTGGTAGAACATGGAGGGGAAGAGGAGGAAAGAAGAAAGAAAATGACATACAAATGCCTTTTCTTGAACTGGCCTTCTTTCAGTTGTCTAGTAATATTTGACTTGATGGATGGAAAGTAATCTTCTTCTTCTTCTTTCTCCTCTCCTCCTCCTCTTCCTCCTCCTCCTCCTCCTTCTCCTTCTTTCTTTCAGTATAGGGGATTGAACTCAGGACCTTGTGCTTGCAAGGCAGGCATGGTGCCACTGAGCTAAATCCCCGGCCCAGAAAGTAATCTTAATTAAAGTCATTTACGTGAACTGCTTACCTCTTACATCTAATTGCCATGTAACATAAGAACAGTTATGCATACCATTAAATTAGTATCAGATTAACTTTGATGCTTATTATGTTTAATTTCTGCTTGTTCCATCTAGATCAGTTTTTGGCTCATGGACTATTGTTGTAGCTCTACACTTCAAGAGAATGAAACTGAACATCACTTGCAGGTCAGTCCTATTCCTCACTCTGGGTTATTTCAGAATAGAACACAAGGCTGGAGTTTCTGAGTCAAAGACTTTATGTAGGCAAGGTGCTTTCCACCCTAGGGGAAGCAGTAAATAAAGGACCAGATGGAAATAAAGGGAATATCTTCATGGCAAATGACCCAGCAAGAAGGAGGATCACCAAATAAGCTGTCATTCTTTTTATTCCTCATCTTCAGAGATTGACTGTTGGTGTAGGCCCTTTTCTTCTTGACTAGAGTGAACTTAGAATGTGAAATCAGCCTCTCATTGTTAGCAAAAGATCTATAAAATTTAAACAACTTACAAAGCCCATATCTTGTTTAATTTATTAATGGGGTGTAATTCAGGAATAACTTATTAGATAAGATATGAGCTATTATAGTATTTGTGGTGTACACATAGATGATAAATGCTTGCTAACAATTCTCTCCCCATCACATCTGAATATCTTTAAGTCAATGTTGGTTCCTCAAACATTTGGAGGAGAGCATTTGTCAACCCTACTCCAAATTCTATCCATCCTGTGGCATAATTTTTGTTCATTGTTTAACTCTGGGCAGACATTTCCTGTAGCTGAACATGTATAAAAACTAATTTAGCCTAAGCTGGAAGGCACTTTTAGACATAAGGATAGGCGGTCCTATTCCATTTCACGATGGTAGGGCAAATTGTTGGGATACTCGTATACCTGATTCATGAGCTTAATAAATGTGAAGCAGCTCTTCAAACCCAGGGAGAATGATACAGTTTAAGAACAAGAAAGTTATAGGAGGCAAAGGGAAGTAATGAGTCTTTGAAATTGAAATAATAACACCAAGAGTATTTTTAATCAAAAAAAGAAATGCCTGGCGAGTCTGCATGAATAGAGCTATAATTAAGATAAATGGGAATAAGGTGGTTGTGTGTGTGGTTGTGGAAAGATGATTGATTCAAGCCTCAATCAAACATGAACCAGGGAGAGAGAGGGAAAAGTGACTTCGCTGATTCTTGGGAAGCTAGTTAACCTCATCACTATATCTTCATATGGGATGAAGGGTGGCACATGTTTGGATAATACCCCCTAGGTACATAAAGCTCAACACATCCAGCTCTGAACTTGTGGTTCCCGTCCTTCATATTCTGCACCTGCCCATCTTGGTAGGCAGTGCTTACATTACCTGCTTCTACTTGTGGGTTCATGCTTCAAGACAGGGAATCATCCTCAACTCTCTTTCTCTCTCATTTTCCATTTGCATTTAGTTCTCCTGATTCTCTTCCCTAAATATTTTTCAAGTTGAATTTCCTCTCTTGGTGGTCTCTATCACTGCTTCAGGTAAGACCTTCACACTTTGCACGTGGACTGTTGTGCTCTCTGTCCCATTAAATACCTCATCTTGAATTGATTTTGTTCCATTCCATTGTCCGTGGCCATGAAAAGGTAGGATTTATATTTCAGACATGTCCCTGACTTAACAATTGTTTGCCTTATGATTTTTTGATGTTACAATGATGCAAATGCAATACACCTTCAGTGGAACATGTGCTTTGAATTGTGAATTTTGATTCTCTCCCATGCTGGTGAGATACACATAGTCTTATACTCTCTCATGAGGCAGGGCAGCCTCAGTGAGCCATAGATTCCAGTACACTATGCATGTCATCATGAGATGAAACAACTGATACTCTACATTGCACTGTGTTGCTGAACTATGATGTTTGGTAGGTTGCATGCCTTAAACACATTTTTAGTTATATTTCAACTTACAATGGGTTTTTCAGGATGTAGCCCAGCTGTAGGTGGAGGAGCATGTAAATTTTGTGCTCCTCAGTGACTTTTCAGTGGTTGATCATGGTTACACTGGATACTTGGACCTCTCCATTCTCACCTCCTGTTCCCTGTTTCCTGGCCATAATAAACCTGCAGCAATCCAGATGTTTGTTACATTTTCAGCTTCTGTGTTATTATACATGCTATTTCCTTTGCCCAGAATATCTTCCCTCCACTCCTTTCTTTTCCCCCCAGTGGTTCTTACTTGCCATCGAGCACCATCTTCTACGGGGTGTGTGAACTGCCTCCCCAGTGTCTATGTCTTATTACTCATTTTTTGAAAATTGTTTTGTGGCTATAAATCCTTGAAGTCAGGGAATATATATTATATCAAAATCCTAGCACCTGCATCAGTTTTTGCTAACTCCGCTGTTGATACCACAGCCTCATCTACTCTAGGAAAATCTAAATCATGTGAATGAGTAAGATTAACTGGAAGAACAGGATCAAGCTGAAGCAATAATATGCCTTAGGGTACTGATATATCCCTGGGAGATTTAATGACTAGTACTGCTCTTCAGCCTTGGAGGAGACCACAGATACTGTGCAAATGGGACCAAAGCCCTCCAGTCCTCTGTTCTGCTCTGTTTCTCTCTTTCTATAGTTGTCCTGGAGGACAGCTCCCAGTGAGAGGGGCCTTCAACAAGGCTCTCCAGCCTGTTTATAGTATCTGATTGCCAGCTAAAAACACAATGGCTTCTGTTGAGCTACAGCTTTCAGGGTCAGATTGTTTTGAGTAAGAAACCCCTGGATTACTTGGCCTTGATATTAGACTGCATATCACGGCAACATTCCTTAAGGTCAGGGAAACTATGCTGAATGTCAGAAAGACTCAAGAAGAGAATACCTCCAGAAGCATTCCTTTCACTTAAGGAGGAGAATTAGTCCACAGTTTCAAGAGTGGTGGAAAGTTCTTGAACCTTGGTATGGGAGTGTAGTCAATTATTGTGAAGTGTGAGAACTCAGGTAAGAATGTGCTGATACAGCTTCAAGAACTAAATGAGGAAATAAAATCTGAATTGGATATGAAGAAGGAACCTTAACCCAAGTAACTTGAATTCCCACAGCACCTGTCAGACTGCAAGAGCCTAAGAGACATTTTCTTTTTCCTCTTCAAAGACAAGAACTTTACTAGTTAAGCTTGACCTGTGTAATCCAACCAGGAACAGAAACTTGCATTCATAGAGCAATTGTACCAAGGTCTGCAATTTAGAAATTCATAATGGCCTAAAAGGGATAGAACCAGTATACTCAGTACCTACAAATTTCAAATGCTCATGCATACCAAAGTAAGACACAAAACAAAACTCATGAGTTGACACCCACTAAGATTCCCTTTAGAAATAAATGCACAATTCTGCTCTAGTCCTGATGGTTTTCTTGACAAGAAAAGAAATACATCAAAATTGCAGTATCGTTTGGTTTTCCACACTGCTGTGAGCAGTTCTTTTCAAAGCATTATCTTCCAAAGATTCATCTGCATGTCAAATTAACAGATGTGAATCTGGAAAGCCCAGCGAAGAGTAGGAATATTCTCATAGCCAGCAGAGAGTTACAAGTGTTAAGAAAGAAAAATATGCATTCCAGAAATCAAATAAAAGTAAAGTAAAATAAATCCCAACATCCGACCTATACATATAGATATAACAATGAACGAGGGTATCAGTTTTCTAACAGACATAAGAAAGTACACCAGTGCCACTTCCTTGCAAGCCGTCTCAGTAGTCTCCAAGCATCTGTGAAATTCTTTTGAAAATTTAAAAAAAGACAGCTTATGTAAAGACATGGTTTTTATGGCTGCTGCCATTGATGTGGTTGTGGTTAATTCTAAGTAGCTTGAGAACCCACCTCTCTCGCCAGTATTGTCTCCGCAGGATCAGCTTTCAGTTTTGAAAATTCGTGACCAAAGGAGAGTTTAAAAAAATAAGCCTCACACTCCAAAAGAATAGTCCCTAAATGCATAAATTCCGCAAATGCTTTAGGCAACAGCCTTTTCTTTGGAACAGGGCAGTTATTCTAGTATACAGATTTCTTTGGAGTTCCATGCCCTGGTACTATGACTTAAAAGAAAACCACTCACTGCCCTTAAAGGTAGTGGTTTTCAAATCTGGCTGCAAGAGGGAAGCATCCATAGAGGTTTACAAAACACTGGTACACAGGCCTTACCCAGAGAGAGTCTAATTTAGTTTGTGTGCAGAGCAGGCAGACACTGAAAGTTTTAAAATCTCATGTGGTTCTAATGTGCCAGCAAGATGGCTTAGATACACTTCAGTTTAAAGTCACTTGTTTTGTTTAACTGTTACACACCCATCCTTTCCTGTCTCTTAACACACTCCTCTTGCTCTTTGTAGCTCTAAGGATAATGCATGGAAGGTGGCAGCTACTTAATTGCTTGTTCTATGAGTGAACGATGGTAAAGGCTCTTCCTGAAGGTGAGGAAGAGAGGAGTATGGGACAGACTGGTTAATGGGTACAAAGTCCCCCAGATTCGAGGAATCTGTTTGGATACTAACTTACACAGAAGGGTGAGTGCGGTCAGCAATACAGTGCATAATCTAAATCCAAACAGCGAAAGAAAGGATTTTGAATTTTCTCAACACAAAGAAATGACAAATGTTCGATATGATTCCATATCCTAAGTTGATTATTACACAAAATGTAAACAAATATCACACTGTGTCCCATAAAGATGTGTAATTATCACCTATCAATTAAAAACAAGTTTTTAAAAAATGAGATGGAAGACTAGCCACCTTAATTTGCCCAGAACAGAGAGGCTTTCCTAGGCGTGAGCATTTCAGTGCTAAAACTTGAACACTTCCAGCGTACCAGGATGGTTGGACACCAGCATGCCAGGCGCAATGTTAAACACTATCAGAAATTGTCTTTAATCCTAATAGCAACCTATGAGATGGATACTCTTTTCATCTGCATTTCACAGATGAAGAAACCAAAGCACAAAAGTATTAAGTAATAACTTGCCAGGATGTGGGCATAAGTGGTAGATCTGAAACAGAACCCTGACAGCCTGAACTAGAGTCTATTTAATCATTATGTCATGTTTCTTCACAGTACAGTTGTAATTTCTTTTAGTTTGGTTTATTGCCCTAAGATTTCTGTTGGTTAGTAACTTTTGAAAATGGAAAAGTCCCTCACTCCTTACATGGGGGATTGTCCATTTGGAGATTTCTAAGTCTGCCTCCCAAAAGCTGTAGAGGAGACTCAGCAAGAAACTCAGCCCTTGGAAGTGGAAAACAAATTACAGAGCTGGGGCAGAAGGAGGGTACCCATCCCAGCTAACCATCCAGACCCAGCTTGCCCTGTGGATTGAAGCCCTTGATGTTGAGTAGGGCACCAGGGGAGGAGCTCTGAGAAAGAGGTCCGGGTGTGTATGCCACCTGGGTGAGCGTGATAGTGTCCATCTCATGGCTGCTTTTTTATGTGGAGACCTATAATAACAAGTATGGGGGTATCTGAGCACTCACAAGCACAGAGAAAACCCCTTACATCAATCTTCACCTAAATAATCCTTCCTTTAGGCTATCAAAATGCCTTCAAATATTATTTAAAATTTTTATCTGCCATTTAAAAAAACCCCAAAAGAACAGAAGTCTGTGAGAACTTAGAATGCTAAAGGTTTAGTACAATCTTTGTTATAATTACCACATGTAAACCTCTTACAGAAAGCTTCTAGGTTTTTTTTAAAGGGAAAGTATTTGAACAATATTTGATCATCTGATACAGGTCATGATAGGACTCTGCCCACATTAGCACCACGTTGTAACCAAAGGGCCAAAGTGGAAGGGAAGACTGTGAACTAGGCTTCATGTGCTGAAAGAATATATTACAAAAGCTCAACAGAAAAACCAACAGCAACTAGCAGATCACAATGTTTGGAGGAAAAGAGGTTTAATTTGTATTTTTCTGATGGCTAAGGGTGTTGAACATTTTTTCATATACTTTTTTGCCTATTCGAACTTCTCTTGAGTCATACCTAGTTAATTTCTCCACTTTTTAATTGAGTTCATTGTTTTATGAGTATTAATTTTTTGAGTTCTTTACTCTATATGTTTTCTTCCATTCAGTGTATTGTCTCTTCAGTCTGTTGTTTCCTTTGCTAGGAGCACCGTTTAAATTTGATGTAGTCTCATTTGCTGATTCTTGATATTCTTCCCCCTGCTTTTGGAGTACTGTTCAGGAAGTCTTTGCCTGTGCCTATGGTTTCAAGTGTTTCCCCTATGTTGTCTTCCCTAACCCTAATTCTACTTTGAGATTCCACCTTACCCCAATCAGAATATCAGAATGGTAGTCATCAAGAATGCAAAAAGCAGTGCTGGTGACAGTACAGGGAGCAGGAAGAGTGACCCTCCATTTTTGGTGGAATGTAAACTAGTACAACCACTGGGGAAGTCAGTATGGAGTTCCTCAAAAGACCAAACAGAAATACCATTTTTTTTTCAGAAATACCATTTTACGCAGCTATACTACCCCTGTACATGTTCCCCTCCAAAGTAAGATGGAATATTATAGTTATACATGTATGCCTATATTTATAACAGGACAATTCACAATAGTTAAGCTTTGGCAACAGCCTAGGTGGCCATCAACAAATGAATGTAGTATAAAGAAAATGTAGCATACACTTACAATGGAATATTACTCTGCCATAAAGAAAAATGACATCACGTCATTTACAGGAAAATGGATAGAACTAGAAATAATCATGTTAAATGTAATTGGCTAGGCTCAGAAGGTTAAACATTGCATGGTTTCTATTACATAAGAAATCAAATAAATAAATAAATAACAAACAAAGGAGAAATGAGAGGAAACCAGGAGGCAGACTTTTGGAGATGGGGAAGGGGATCAATGGGGCAGGGAGGATGGGTAATAGGATTGAAATTGATTAAGACATGTTAAATGTATGTGCCAACTTCCCCAAATAAAGCCCGCCATTGCATAATATTAACCTACAGTAATAAAACATCATAAAATTCAAAAAAGGAAAGGAGGTAGCAGAGGCTATGTGGTGCTCACCTGAAGGGAGCCTCTTTGTGGAATCGCTCCCAGAACTGCTGCTGCTCCACATCAAAGGCTGTGCACCTCTGGCGAAGGATGGTCACTTCATTCGCCTGCAGTGGGGCCACCTGCTGCCTCACAGTGACAGCCAGCTTCTTTATGTGGTTCCATTTCTCAGGTAGCTCCTGCAAAGGGGACCTCAGTACGATCAGACCCACAGCACTCCTTCCCTATATCCTGGGGCTGGCATCACTGAGATTCTATTGTCTGTGGTATGTGTAATCACACTTGTGGCTGGGAGGGAGGAGTGTCAAGTTTACTAGCTTTGAGATCTACCCAGAGGACTGATGACCATAACTGAGTGTGTCTAGGGTGGGTCATGGATGTATGGCCTTGGGTCTATATCTGGTCTCTGGCCTCTTCCTCTTTGGTATTATTCCCCTGCTCTGCATCCCTGCTACCACGAATTGATCCTTTCTGCCACATTTCTGCTTTGGATTCAGCTGACCATTGCCTGAATCCCCTTTAATAATGAGCCAAATTAAATGCTTCCTTCCTATTCTTTGTGGATATCAGGTAGTGTGTCCAGGCACTGGAAAGCCACTAACACAGTATTCTAATGTGGTGCTGTCATTAGCTCATTCTCCACAATGCTCCCTCTTCCTCAGGTTACAACTTGTACCTTCCAGGTATCTGCTCTCTCCAATCACCTACCTGCCACTCCACACTAGCTCTCTCTCCTTCAACCTCTAACCCAGCAACACTCATCTCTTCTATATTTTTCAGGAGTGCTTGGTTACCTTCTTGTACGTTCCACATTCTGTCTTAGACAATCTTAGCATCACACGAACCCTCTTATTTCCTCCAAACAAAAAATTGGCTATCTTTAATTCTGGGAGAAAAACCATCCATATTCATTATCTCATGTATTTATTGAGTTTCCAGAATGTTCTAGCCATTACCCATTAAAGTTCCAAAAGGTGAAGCTGAGTCATCAACAAGGTCTGTTTTTCATTCATTTCTATCCACCTCATCCCACAATGAAACCCTAAGACTTTTCTTCTGTTTTTTAAAAATATATAAATGCACTGACCTCCAGTTGCTTAAACACAGCTTCTGGCAATTCTTGGTCGTAGGTCTTCAGTAATTCAATGGTTTGCTTGAGGGGCTCAAACATTTCATTGGTGCTGCTCTGCCGTTCTTTAAGGGCTACAAGGTGTCCAATGATCTCAACCAATCCTTGGAAATCTCCTTGCTCAACTTTCTTGAGCAAGCCACATTCACTGCTTTTTATGAATGCTTCAAGGTCATCCAGGCTAATCAACACAAACAGAACATGAGGAGCCAGTCTCTGCCCCACTCCTCAAAAGGAGCATTTACTGATTTCCCTCACAATAATAGTTATGATTACAGAAAGCTCACCACATGCCTGGTACACCTTTGTGGACTCTTCATAGGCTACTCTCTGATTTTACGTGGCTTTCTTTACCAGTGGGAAGCTTATGAAAGACAAGGACTGAGGCCCATCTCATGAAGGAGGTGACTCAGGAGATATGCTGTCTAAATGCAATGTAGGATCTGGGACCACATAAAAGATATGAGTGGAACAACTGGTAAAACTGGAAAAAGGTCTGTAGATTAGTTACTGGTATTACTTCAACATTAACTTCTTGAGTTTGGTCATTGTACCATGGCTAGCAGTTGAGAAAGCTAGATTTAGCAGTTGGGAAAACTAGGCTTAGGGCAGAAAGGAACTCTTTGTACTATTTTTAACTTTTGTTAAGTCTGAAATGATTTTACAGTGACAAGTTCAAAAATAAGATTTTTAAAAAAATGCTCTGGCCTCTAAAGTTACACATATTTGAGTTCGATTTTGACACTTATTAAATACATGACCATGCCCAAGTCATTTAATTTATTTATCTACAGGATCAGAGGAAGCACGTATCTCACTATTTTGAGAGGTAAATAAGATTTATTATTTCATTCAACAAATATTTATTGAGCATCTATTATGAGCCCTAGAATGCCTCCAGGTCTTGAGGATGGAATGATAAGAAAGATAAACAAAGTCTTTATGGATGTGAAGCTTACTTTTTTGGAAAGAAAAGTAAGCAGAAGATAAATCAATGAAATAAACTGTATGGTTTCACACAGTAATGAGTGCTAATGAAAAAAATTAGGAAAATGAATACAGACTAAAGATATGTCTATGGCCAATAAAGGTCTTTGCATGAAGGTGATATGAAGAGAAAACTAAATAAGAGAAAGGTGTGAACCACAGAAAGAGGTGGGAGAGGAGGACTTTGAGTAGAAGAAATAGCATGAGCAAAGGTACTGTAGTTGAATTAAATTTGGTTTGAGGAAAAGGATAAAAGTCAGGGAGGCAGCAGCTTAAGGGAAATGGGAAAAAACATGGAGAGAGAAGTGGTAGAGTACTAATGAGGGGCCAAATAATATAGGGCTTTATTTCAGCCTTTTTAAAGAAAATCATGAGAGTAGTTCTCACTAAGTTACTAAGTTGTCCAGGGTGGGCTCCGATTTAAAATCCTCATACCTCAGCCTTCATGGTGATGGGCTTATAGGTTTGTACTCCTGTGCCTGGCTGAGAATAGCACTTAGCAGGAAGTGTTGTTGCTGAAGATAGTGGCACTAGTGGTGGTGGACAGGAGCCTGGAGGGCAGTTGGGGTCAATTAGGATTGTCCAGGTAACATCAGTGTTGCCTTTGACCTGGATGGTGGACCTGAGAAGTGGCCAGACTCAAGGTACTTCTGCATATAGAGGCAGTAGGGCTTGCATGAGAGGTGCGAAGAAATGAAAAAAATCAATTAACTCTTGACAACAGGGTAAATTATGGTGCCATTTGAAGATATGAGGAAGAACTGGGAAAGGCCAGGGGAGGGTTTTGTTTTGTTTTGTTTGAGATGTGGAGAAAAGGAGTATCTCAAACACTTCAGGTTTGTGGTGCCTAATGGATTTCCTAAAGGAAATATTTATTAGGCAGTTACATGTAAGTCTGGAGATCCTGGGAGATGGGGCTTAAAATATTAATTTGGTTGCTATTTATGTATAGATGTTTTAGCCTTACTTGTGCAGCACTGGAGAAGGAACTCAGGGCTTCAGGCATGCTAGGCATGAGCTCTATTACTGAGCTGCATTGCCAGCTTCACAGAAGCTTCTGAAGCACTGGCTGAAATTATCTGGAAAGTGCGTGTAGATAGAGAAGAAAGTCCAGGGTTCAGGCTTCAGGAATGTTAGTATTTTGAGGGTTAGGAGAAGAGAGGAGCCCAGCAAAAGAGATCAAGAAGGCTGAGCTATGGTTCCACTACCTGCTGTGCAAGCACAAGGTCCTGAGTTTGATCCCTGGTACCAAAAAAGAAAAGAAGGCTGAGCTAATGAGATGGAAGGAAAATAAGGAAAGTGAGGAATCCTGAAGGGCACATGAAGATGCTGTTTGGAAAAGAGGGAAGGTTAGCTGTGACAGATACTGCTGAAAAGTGAAAGTAAGATGAAGCTTGAAAATTACCACTGGATTCGACCATATGAAAATCACTGGTGACTTTGACCAGAATGGTTTCAGTGGAGTAGTACAGTAAAGCCTGAATGGAAAGTAAGTTAGAGAATGATGGGATTCTATTTCTAGCTCTATGGCAAACATGATAATGCAAGTGATTTTTCTGATAAAAAACTGAAATATTTAAGCAAATATATCAAAATCAATTAAAAATGTATCAGAAAGGTAACCTAAAGTTAAGGAATGTCCAAAGGGTGAAAATGTAATGAAAACAAAAACATGTGGAGCTATGCAAGACCTGAAGCTGCATTCACATCACAGTTTCAACTGAACCTCAGAGGCCCTGCACTTCTACTTTTGTTACTTTATCAACTGCAGAGAACAGATGATAAGCACACTACCCATTCACATTGAGGGCTATGGGAGGTTGCATGTAAAGTTGGGAAACCACTGAGTAAGAAAGAAACAAACATGCTGTGCAGAAGATGGCAGTCTGGAATCTTGCCTGTTCAGATTTTGGCACTAGAGAACTAAACAGGCAGGAATCCAAGTGCACCAGGCTTGGCAGAGCCCTTTGACAACTGGCAAAAACAAACGCAAATCTTTCTCCAAAGGGATCAACCAACTAGAATCCAGTCTTCAAAGGATTCTGGACAGGTAAAATTTCAGGGAATATGATTTTACAATAAACACCATAAAATACACAAGGAAAGAAGTCACCATGAGTGGGAGTTAGCAGAATGAATTGAGTTAGAACTGAAGATTTCAGATAGTGAAATTCAAATATAGAATACAAATTTGCAAAGTGTATCGTGTTGCAAAGATACAAAGTTTCTTGTTTTTGCTTAAGTACCTTGCTTCACTGTTTTTGTCCCACATAGCAAGAAAAAGTGGCTTCTCTATAGTTTCTTGAACATAAATTCAAGACTGACTAAAAAACTTCTTTCTTGTAAGCACGATATATCCATTTATACAGAAATTTTCTTCAAGTCAGTCTTTAGAGCCCAAATACATCTATATTATCTCAATAGGTCCTTGTCCCTGTTCCTGACCTAATTTGCCCTTTATGTTTGAACATGAATTCTGCATTGCATTAGGGAATCAAGAATATGGCAATTTCTGATGTTCTCTGAACACACTCAGAATCTGTGAGAGTGTGTAGTCCTTTGAACTAAAGGAAGGATTTGGAGAAGTGATGAAATTTACTGCTGTGGATAAAAACAGAATTAAGAAGAGAGTTAGGATTATTAATTCTAAATAGATGGTACAAAATACTTTTAAATCGACAAATCTAAAGTCTTAAATTCATCATCTGAAAAAGATTTTCAACATTTAAAAAATGATTAAATAAGAGGTTCGACGTGTCAGGAAAAAGAAAGTATAAATGCAAGCAAGAAAAATCTGCAAACAACCAAGTAGACCATGTAAAAGTGAAAAATAGTTTCAATTTCAATGAATGGGTTAAACTGGAAATTTAGACAAAGCTGAAAGAGGGAATTAGACTGCTTGCTGTATGATAGAGGTGGAAACATTGTCTAAATTGCACTGCAGAAAGGAAAAGAAAAAGAACTTCAAAGACACAGGGGACAATAAAAATAATTTTACGTAGGTATCATAAGAGCCCCAGAAGGACAAAATATAAATTATGGGCAAGAAGAAATATTGAAATGAGTCTGGCTAAGAATTTTCTTGAACCACTGAAAGGCAATAAATGCAATGCCAGGAAAGCCCAACAAATTCCAGGTAGAAACCCTCACATAGATACTTCAATGTGAAACTGTGCATTACCAAAGAAAAATAAAATATTAAAGTTAGTTTCAGAGCAAAGATATATTTTAATAGTAAATAAATAAATAGAAAATGTAAAGTTAGACAAATAGCTGATCATTCACCAGCAAAAATGGAAGCTAGGACACAGCAGAATAATATTTTCAATAATCAAAGAAATTTTATGTTTTCTTAGGATTCTCTTTTTTTTTTCTTTTATTGGTACATTTTAGGTATACAATACACTTACATTTCTCATTCAGAACTTGTATCTTTACATGATGTATCTTGGTTCTTATTTTTTTCCCATTCCCTGCCCTCCCTTAGAATTGTCTTTCACAAAACCACTTTTTTTTTTTTTTTTTTTTTTTTGTACCTGGGATTGAACTTGGGTCCTTGCACTTGCAAGGCAGGCGGCAGAACCAGTGAGCTAAATCCCTGGCCCTCAAAACCACTTTTTTGAAGAACAAAGGGAAAATAAATACATTTTAGGAAAAGAAATAGTGAGAGGGTTCGGTCAGTAGAACCTTGCAAAGGGAGTTTCTAATGGATACACCTCAGTAACAGGTCTGTCATGTACAAAGATGTAATGAGAAAATAAACTGGAGAAATGTTGGTAAATCTAAGTAAACATTAAGCAAATGGGAGAGCTGAGAATGTAGACTATCTCTAGAGTGCTTGCCTAGCAGGCATGAGTTCCTGGACTCCATCCTCAGCACTGAAAAACAATTTAGATGTATAAATTTTTAAAATAAAGTATAATTTTGAGGGTTTAAATAAGTAATGGAGAGCAATCTAAGTTACTAGGAATGAAAGGATATGATTTCATGGATGAACAATACAGATGGAACCATTCTTGTACAGGTTTTAAGGAGAGTAAAACCATTGACAGATGGTTTATTTTTTAATTTTAAGGACACCTATTGAAGCAGCTGTTATAACCATTAGAACAAAGCCACATACATAGTTCTCAGACTAGCAGTGGGACAAAATGAAATAAGGAAAAGAAAATAAGACATTAAAAAAATTCAAAC